CTAGTATGAGAGCCTGTTCTAGTACACCCCCAAAACAAAATCAAGACTTTGTAAAAGAGCATAATAGGACCCCTTTAAGCCATAAATGCTTTATACTGAGTCTTGCATTGGATATTCCTCTGAATCTTCCAGTAAAAATAGTTGAATGCATTGAACTTCAAGTTGAACTTGTATTTGACATTTGACTTTTACTGTGCTTAGTTTAAAACCACAATGACCCAGGGGACTACATTTCCAAAGCATAAAGAGGTCAAAGAAGCCCAGCAGATATGAGTGGGAGGCATGAGAGGTTATTCAAGGATACTAGGTTAAAGAGTCTCAAAGGTGGTCTGGGTTCACACAGTATGTGAGATATATGTGTGTGTGTGTGTGTGTGTGTGTGTCTGTGTGTTATGGTGCAGAGTAATGATGGGAAATGATCTCTTGAAAATGGCCTGTGTTATCCCAAGCTTTCAAAGAGCAGCTCATGTAATTTAGCTTCTCAGATATCATCATAAAAATAGACACAGTAGATGTTACATTCAGATTTATTTGGTACAACCACAAATTGTGGTACAGCCACAATTTTGGGGAAGTCGTGGCCTAATGGTTAGAGAGTCGGACTCGTAACCCAAAGGTTGCGGGTTCGAGTCTCGTACCGGCAGGGATTGTAGGTGGGGGGAGTGAATGTACAGCGCTCTCTCCCACCTTCAATACCATGACTGAGGTGCCCTTGAGCAAGGCACCGAACCCCCAACTGCTTCCCGGGCGCCGCAGCATAAATGGCTGCCCACTGCTCCGGGTGTGTGTTCACGGTGTGTGTGTGTTCACTGCTGTGTGTGTGCACTTTGGATGGGATAAATGCAGAGCACTAATTCTGAGTATGGGTCACCATACTTGGCCACATGTCACGTCACACTTTGATTGTGTTAGAATCTTCTAGCAGGCCAAAATGAGAGGAGCAGCAGAGGCCAGATGAGCAACTCCAATAAATGAAGCACTACACTGGCTGTTTGTCATGAAAAACTGCATGCTTATGGGTTCACTAATATGCCATGAGATGTAGCTTCTTCAGCAAAACTATATATCAGATAATCCTAGTGCTCATTGTGCATTGGTCTGGCCACTTGCCATGGATAATCATAAGCATAAGTTGTTTACATGAGTCATTCTTTAATCAAGCTTATCACTTCCTGTCTGCATTCTGTGATGTAATAGGCTTGTTTTTTCAACCACGTGTTTGGGAGCAAATGTAATAAGACCTTTACATATAAAGGAAAATAGTTGATTACATTGGTTATACTTCAAGCGCTTATTTTAATTATAGGTTTCAATGAGCAGGAATAAAAACAGAATTGCCAGCTGTGCTGTTTGCCTGCTGTTGAGGCATATGGTCAGCCATGATAGTCCTTTTTTGTACACTAGTTTTGTCATCTTTCTGAAATAGCTTTAGATTCTTTGTTTGACTTTTTGGTTGCCAAACAATTCATTCTTTCAAGAATGCATTCTGGAAGTGTCTCGCTGTATCCTCAAGAGCTAGTAATGTATTCAATAAAAATATAATGTCTTCTGATTCAAATTTAATCAGAAAATATATCAGCATGAATATTGTTTTAATACGTTGAATTAAATGTGAATAAATAAATAATATTTGAAGCAACAGTTATTAACATGATTAAATACCCTTTTAACATAATACACAATGTATTCAGATGAGCATTCTAAATCAAAATATAGATTTGCATACTTGAATATTATTTGTAAGAAGAGGTCTGATTGTGTACCATATCCTTGGTAAGTGCTTATGTGTATCATGTGTGTGATGTATTTAGAGAGATGATTCTCTGAAAACAGCAGCAAGGACCAAACTGAGGTTGTATAAGCTACTTACCTGAGCTGACCACATAATCTGTGCTGAATAGAGAGATAGGCCGGGGTCAACAAGTCACACACACGTTTCTGTAATGGTGAGGACTTTCCTTTGACTTTCCATTTGGACTTTTAAACTGAGCTAATGATTTTCTTTTTCCTGCCCCTAAACCTGACCTTTGAAAAAAACATTTTTATATTTTAATCAAGATAATTTAGTATGTTAAACCTGACCGCCACATGTCAAATTCTTTCTGCAGTTAAGTCTGTTGCACGAACACTCTGAAGTCAGTTAAAGCTTAAATACAGTAACTGAGTAAAACAGCTAAAAAGCACAATATTTTAAATCAATTTTAGCGATGGCCCTGGCTTGTACCCTACTAAATATTTGTGCATTGCTCCAATAAACTTGAAACACTGAAATATAACCCTTCGTTTCAACTAAATATATACTCAAGCTTTTGACCAACCAAGTTAGAATAAACAGTTGTTTGGCAGACTGACTGAATTATAACAATGAGCTAATGCTTTGCCCGACAGACTTCAACCATTTAGACTTTTATTGCAATGTTCACATTTACACTTGTTTTTATTTTAGGAGAGACCATTATGTGAATAACTGAGCTGTTCTCCAGCATGAAACAAATCTAAACACTGCTCTTTCTTTGTCACGTTCTCCTATCAGCTGTTTGTCTATGTATATATTTCCAGTATGTTGTTTTTTGTTTTTGTTTTTGAAAGACTCTTATGCTCAACAGGGCTTCATTTATCTGATGAAAAATACAGTTAATCAGTAATATTGTGAAATATTACAATTCAAAATAACTGTTTTCTATCTGAATATATTTTTAAAAAATTATTATTTATTCCTTTGATGTAAAAAATTAGTTTTCAGCAGCCATTACTCAAGTCTTTAGTGTCACATGATCCTTCAGAAATTATTATAATATGCTGACTTCTGCTCAAAAAATTTGAATACAGTTGTGCTGCTTAATATTTTGAATCTTTGATGGATAGAACGTTCAAAAGAACAGTATTTATTTGAAATATAAATATTTTGTGACACTATAAATATCTTTTGTATTACTAACTTTAGATCAGTTCTACTGACCCCAGCATTTTTAGTGGTACTGTATTTTTTTAATTATATCACTTGTTTAAAAAAATTAAATGTTTATTATTTTAATCTAAAAAACTTTTTATGATAATTTTTATCTATTGTGTTTCATGTATTGTGTTTATACTCCATATATTATTACTGTTAATAGTGACATGAGAGTTTTAAAAGACTAAGGGCCAGATTTACTAAACAGGACAAATTAGCGTGAGAGCGCAATTCCAAAACAGCGCCGATGGGCATTGAAATTTCTGCGGGTGATTTACTGACAACCACGCAAATTAAAGAACACAGACACAACATCTCATTTACATATCGACCAACGCAATATATCAAGCGCAGCACAAATTAGCGTAATCACAAATAAGCAGAGCCGATGCTCATCAAGTGCGGGTGATGTAGGCTACTTATGACACAGGCGCAAAATAGTTTAAGACATGCTTTTTTGGGGTGTTAAATAATGGCGCAAATACCAGTCATTTGACGAGCGCAAACGTTAGTAAATTATGTTGCGTGATTCATTTTAATACTCTCCTCCCATAAATTTTGCATCTGAAAGGGAAACTCCTACAAATGTATAGTCAATAATGTCAGGCGGAAAAATAACTCTGTGACCATGCCTTTTCAGTGCTATTTCTTCACGGCGTGTCTTTAGTAAATTCTGACAGTAGCCTACTATTTTAACGCCAAAAAACGATTTGCGCTGCCGCAAGCTGTTAGTAAATCTTGCCCCAAAACTAAAGTACACAAGGATCAGTAAAGTTAAACACCATATTATTTTATAAATCTTGTCTTAATATTGTGAACTTTACCATCCCAACTTACATCCCAGTAAAGCCTTACAAACGGCTAGTGCAACCCAGCTATATTACTCTAGCTGTGTGTTTTACAGGTTTCCCCCAGAATGCCTCCTTCTCAGTATATGAGTGATGATGCAGATGGTGTGAGCACGTCCCACCCCGCATGCAATCTGAGGTACAGAGACTCCTACCTCTCGACCCAGCGGCGCAATGACCGATGTCGATTCTTCAATCATGTGACTTTTGATCCTTTCATCATCACAGAGGACATTTCAGTGCTGCAGTCCATGGCCCAGGTAACACCATAACTCAGAAAACAAAAACCTTTAAACTAACTGAGATGCGTGTCAAACTTTCAGAAATACTATAATTCCAACACTACGTCTCCTAAAACCAACAGTTTGAATCCATTCTTTCTTATCTCTTGTATTTATTGCTCTTTCAGGGTCGGACTGTGCTTAGTTTTGACCTGGAGAAGGGTGAAAATGCCTTAGGCTTCAGCATTATTGGTCTGGAGACTGAAAGCAGTGGAGGTCATGGTATCTTCATACAGAAGATTCAGCCGGACTCTGTAGCATGCAGGTATAAACTGACAAGGATGCAAGTACAGAATACCGTAACTTAATTGATTTGAAGTGCATTATTTTGGACAGCGGCATAGATTGATTTAAAACCATTCATTACCCTATTCTTCTGTCTTAGTGATGTCTTAGCAGCTCTTTCTGCAGCTCTGAGCTTAGAACGATACTCACGGAGAACATCAGATAGCCAAGGGGCAGAAGAGGTGGTATGAGCTGGCCTGGAAGACAAGGGGCAAACAGTGTCTAAACAAGACGTAAGAGTGGAGCAGAAAGTATCAGTAGCACGGTTAACATCAAGAGATGATAACTGTTCAGGGGAAGGAAGCAAAGATGAAACCATAGCAGATAGCCGGGAGGGTGTGAGAGAGCGTAGGTTACTTCGGAAAGTGACATGCGTAGGGGTATGTGTTGTGTCAGGAACCATGTTGAGGTTAAGAGTGAGGAGGAAGTGATCCGAGGTGTGTAGTGGAGTAACAAGCACATGATCAGTGGAGCAGTGTCGTGTGTAAATAAGGTCCAGTTGGTTGCCTGATTTGTGAGTAGCCGTAGTTAATACTCGCTTGAGATCAAAAGAAGCAAGCAGAGTGTGGAAGTCTGCAGCCTGAGGTTTATCTAGGTGGATGTTGAAGTCTCCAAGCATAACTAGGGGAGTACCATCCTCAGGAAAGTTTGAGAGCAGCACATCTAATTCTTCCACGAAGTTACCTAGTGGTCCTGGGGGTCGATAAACAACTATAAAATGGATTTTAAGAGGGTGGGTAATAGTGACTGAATGTGATTCAAAGGAGCTGTTGATACACGGAGATGGTAAAGGATTAAATTTCCAATCATTAGAGATAAGCAGACCAGTACCTCCACCTCTTCCAGTCAGACGGGGGGAGTGGGAAAAAGAGAAATTATTTGAGAGTGCTGCAGGTGTAGCATTGTCCTCTGGTTTGATCCACGTCTCTGTCAGGGCCATGAGGTTTAGTCTTGAATGACTTGTAATAGAAGTAATAAAATCTGCTTTGTTTACAGCAGACTGGCAATTCCAGAGACCAATAGAAAAAGAAAGTAGTGTATTAGTAGACATAGGCAAAGTGCGCAGGTTGTTAGGATTGCGCTGCCTACAGTGTGTGATGCATGGTTTGTGAGTGGTAGTGATAGTAGGGATCTGGAAACACATAGTAAGAGTAGTTGATGTTATATATTCACTACAAAGCCATTCATCTTTGTGTTCGGAGAGCTGTTCCTGGTTGGTGTTACGGCGCGTTACAGCGGTGTCTGTCATCAGCGATTCCCCTGGGCGCTTCAGCTAAAAGAGCAGTTTCCTCTAAAAGAGCAAATCACGGACGATTCGCATCTTTTTCAAGATGCCGTTTCGTCCATGTCCTTCTGGATGCGGTCGTTTCCTGTCCTCTGTCGACGGCCACGATCGCTGTCTTCAGTGTCTGGGCCTTCAGCACGCTGAAGCGGCGCTCGTGTATGAGTCATGCATCTATTGTGGGCGTATGAATCCCGGACCGCATCTTTTTAAAGATGCCGTTTCGTCCATGTCCTTCTGGATGCGGTCGTTTCCTGTCCTCTGTCGACGGCCACGATCGCTGTCTTCAGTGTCTGGGCCTTCAGCACGCTGAAGCGGCGCTCGTGTATGAGTCATGCATCTATTGTGGGCGTATGAACATGGCAGCGCTTCGATCGCGTCTCTTGCTCCTCAAGGGGAGTGCAGCAGACCCCTCTGTCACTACCCGTCCCGGTTTCTCTGCCGCGAGGGAGATCTGAGGGTGACTGTGAGAGCTTCTCCGCCGGGCCACGCCCCACGGACCTCTCACTCCTCCCGCAGCGCCTGTTCCGTGCGGCCGTCGGATGATTCTTCTGGGTCATTTCACAGCGGTCCCAGCGTGTCATTCGGTGTGCCGCCAGAAGATCAGATGTCGATTGCAGCATCGGGGGATGGGCTTTCGGCCTCTGAGGATGAAGATTCGGCGGGGGTGCCCCCCTCGGGTGTTGTCGCCACT